TTGGACACAATCATATGCACTTTTTTCTACTAATCAGATGGCGTCAATCTCATATAAATGGGCAAGGGAAAAAAAAAATGAGAAACAGAGCAGAAAAATGGGATAATGTGTGAAAAAATAGAATTGTGAGAAAACAGCCGATACAGGTAAGAAAAGGCTAGACAACATGTGCTTTCGCCGAAAAACCTGACAAAAAAACCACAGCTTTAGGGTGTAGCAAGGCTTACATACGTTTCTGGATATTGTTCAGGAAGTGTCCAGGTACTGTAATATGTAATAAACCCAATTTACAAAATTTGACTCCCAAACACGATTTCTAGGTGCCCCACCAGCCCTTAAACAGAAACGAATGGTTATGATAAAAATCAACAAACTGCTGGTGTATATGTAACTAACAGGACGAAATGTAAAGCCAAGTTTCCTTTTATTTACTTATTGTTGCACTACAAAACGCTGTGGTATATAGGCTTGCAATCGATCGGAAGACTGCTGCCGTTTTCAGTTTAGTCACAGCTTGGGTTTTTTGTTTCATCAACTGGGCAAGTGTTACTATCCTTTGTCGGTGAGTCAGCTGAGTGATCATTTAGTCTCTTGATTCAGCGAACATCTATTTCCAATCGTATTTCCAAAAACTTGGTATAGCTATTAGGTTATTTAAGAGGCAGGACCTCCGAGACAACGTTCATCTCCGAAAGGACCGATCCAAACGATAAATTCGTGTAAAGTGCCTTTCTCAAGGACACAACGTCGGACCCAAATGAGGCTCGAACCCCTAAACCCGAATCTCACGATTACAGGTTGAATGAAGAGCCTAACAACTAAGTTACCCACGCCACTAAATCGTATTTCCAAATCAAGAAACGTTTTCACAGATGGTAGGACAAGGTATGCAGGAGGCAAGATATTTCACCTCGAGTCTATTTGATAACCGAAACTTTTTTGGGGGGGGGGGGGGGGGTGAAAATGAAAATGAAAATAATAAACAAGTTTAAACAAAAAAAGAATGGTTTTGATAACAAAAGCGTTCTCGTAGATGTTAAGAAAATGTGTGTAGGGGGGGGGGAGGGATATTTCATCCCCAATCTATTGATGAGTTGCCATTTAAAGCTTGCCTTAATGTTCGAGCGTTGTTACATACCAAGCACACTTCGTTGTGGGGATTGTTGGAACAGTTTCTTAGAGGGGTGGGTTGACATGATAGCTGCCATTCTCTCTACTAGAAAGTCCTGAAACACCAGGCCACCCACGGCACTGACAGCAAACGTTATCGTGCGGTTCGGTCTCCTTCGACCCTGCACTACTGGGACAAACCATTGACCACTGTGCTCTTCCTCGGGGGGGTTTTTCAACAGCTTGATACCAGCCTCATCGATGAAGACAAATTCATGCACTTAAATGTTAATGTTCTGAATGATACAGGCTGCATAATTGATGTCTGGTCGCTTAGGTCCTATCAGAATTTCTTTCCACGGCAGCAACCTCGGAATTTTATTTTCTGGTGATCAGTTCACCCTCAAAGGATGCTGCTTATTGTTGTTGTCAACTCACTTTGAATAATCTTTGTGGGGGATATTTGCTTTTGCTATGTGGTATTTGAACGTGCTATTGGCTTCCATTTGGATTTGCTATTTGTACATTTGAACTTGTTACGCACAATCGTGCACTTAAAATTCCTATTGAACATTTGAACTTTTTATGTGGCGTGAAACTTTCTATGTGGCATTTGAACTTGTTGTGTGGCATTTGTATTTCTTATGTGTACATTTGATCTGAAAAAAACTATATTACTATTACTAGATCTATTATTATTGTTTAAAATCATTATTACTATTATCATTATTGTTATTATTATTATTATTATTATTATTATTATTATTATTATTATTATTATTATTACTATTATTATTATTATTATTATTATTATTATTATTACTATTATATATGTTGTTTTTGTTTTAATAGAGGCTTTACGGCGCACGCAACTGCATTAGGCCACATGAGCGCCAAGGGGTGGATGTGAACAGAGACGTCTTTACTGGGAATCAGGCTTACTCTCCTCACCTCTCTAGCTTCAACAGCACAAAGTCTGCGAGTCACAGGAATGTGACAAACATACAAAGAAGTAGAGGTAAATGACGATAGTAAGGATTAGGAAAGAAAAAGCAGCAGTTCCCTGTTGCAGTTCAGGCACGGTTATGAGCATGACTTTGATGAATTGGACAATTTACAATTACAATTATTCTACTGTGCATTAGAACATGGTTAATGTCCCCAATTTGGGAATGGCCTAAAGACACTTCAGTCAGTAGCACCGCCGTAAGGGTTTATATTATATATATATCTATCTATCTATATATATATATATATATATATACAGTAAGAATGCGTACCTAGTGAATACGCGTAATAACTGAATATTTTAGTGAATACACGTAATCCACGTTTCACTCAGGGATTTCACGTAATCACTGAAATTTCTAGTGATTACGCGAAATCCCTAAAATTAGACCTATCATTTTACGTGTTTTTACTACATATGTACTGAGCATTCAGTGAATTCACGTAATAGCCCGCCACTGTACAGAGGTTACGCGTTTTCACTGAAATATTCAGTGATTACACGTATTAACTAGATTGATCTACGTGTTCTTATTGTATCATAGATATGTGAGCTGGCAAACAAGGAGACAACGTGTGTAAGCCAGTTCCACTTGTTGATCGAGGGAGAGGCGATCCTAGAAATATCCTTGATGTCATAATTGACAGACGTGAAGATAGCCGTAAAAGCTGGTTTATTTCCAGAAATCAGTTCGATCTGTGCCCTGAGCGTCTTCTGAACACTGACGACATAAACACCGAAAAAATTGTTTCACTGCGTTCGGCAGTGATTTTTCAATCCTCTTCAGGTGGACAAGGCTTCACAAGATGCAACTGTACTGGTGCCAAAAAGTGTAGTTCAAGCCGATGTAAATGCCGCAAAGCAGGGCTTTAGTGTAATTTACGCTGTCATAACAGCCTCGGTTGTTGTAACAAGTGACGACGTCGATGGATTTTAGTCTTAAGTATTTAACTGAAAACTGAAACAACAACAACAACGACAATGGTGTCTGTCATTTTAAAAAAATGCTTAGTTTTTAGATTCTGGAGCAGGTGTGTGTATGTGTGTGTGTGTGTGTGTGTGTGTGTGTGTATGTGTGTGTGTGTGTGTGTGTGTGTGTGTATGTGTGTGTGTGTGTGTGTGTGTGTGTGTGTGAGAGAGAGAGAGAGAGAGAGAGAGAGAGAGAGAAAAGAGATTGAGAGAGAGTTATTAAGAGAGAGAGGGAGAGAGA